GCCCAGTGAATACTACCGTTGTGCCACGCAAACCCACTCACGAGTACTCGATAGCCTGCCATTTGCAGCACTGTGGCCTGGGGAACGCCAAGTTCAAATGCCAGCATAAAATTGGTCACAGTAGGTATACAAAGCTTAGGCTTCCCATTTTTCATTATATGGGACATTCCAGTAGTGGGCCCAATAGAATGACAGGTAATTTATGTTGGAAGAAAGCGCCAGAAGTAATCTCAGTCAAATCCTGCTCAGAGCAGGTCTAACCAGATGAGGTTGCTCAGTGCTGTGTCCAGTCAGGTCTTGGACACCTCTGAGGATGGATATTCCCCAACCCCTCAGGGCAACTGGATGGAGGAAGCACTGGTGCATTGGAGATCTGGGCCATACAGGTGGCATATTTAGCCAGTGGTAGAGTCCAGAAACACAGCCTCTGAGTACACAGCCCAATTTTTTTCTGTTCTCCAGGTCTTGTTGACTTAGGTGTGTCATGGTTTAACCCTGGCTGGCAACTAAGCACCATGCAGCCGCTTGCTCATTCCCCCCACAATGGGATCGGGGAGAGAATCAGAAGAGTAAAAGTGAGAAACTTGTGGGTTGAGAAAAAGACAGTTTAGTGGGGAAAGCAAAAGCCATACATGCAAGCAAAGCAAAACAAGGAATTCACTCCCTGCTTCCCATGGGCAGGCAGGCACTCAGCCATCCCCAGGAAGGTAGGGCTCCATCACACATAATGGTTACTTGGGAAGAGAGACGCCATCCCTCTGAATGTCTCCCCCTTCCTTCTTCTTCCCCCAGCTTATATACTGAGCAGGACGTCATATGGTATGGAATAGCCCTATGGCCAGTTGGGGTCAGCTGTCCTGGCTGTGCCCCCTCCCAGCTTCTTGCGCACCTGGCAGAGCTGAGAAGTCCTTGGCCAGTCTAAGTGCTACCCAGCAACAACTAAAACATCAGCGTGTTCTCAACATTCTTCTAGTACTAAATCCAAAACACAGCACTATACCAGCTACTAGGAAGAAAATTAACGCTGTCCCAGCTGAAACCAGGACAAGGTGGCACAAACACAAGGCATGCAGAGTTCCAGAAGCTGCGTGTATGTCACCGATGGCTGACGCTAAGAGAACAGAGCACAGTAACAGTCTTAGTTGGAAGGACTATGGAGACGCTGCAGGGATTGCAGATCAACTCAGGTGTGTGCAACACTGATAACAAACCCCTTGCTAATGCTCCACCAGGGATGGTGCTGAGCTGGGATATGCAGCATGAATGTTTTACTTGGTGTCGTATGCAAGCTCGGCACAAATAGCAGGAATAAAACCTATAAATTGGAGCTGTGCCCAAACCTCCTTCAGATAAACTGTTCATACAGGCACAGATCAGACCACTACAGTAATGAAAACACTAATTGCTAGAATAGGGTGTTTCCCTGTAACAAGTCCAGATGGGGCTTACTTTAACTTCAATCCTTTTCAGACATAGTGAGGATGAAGCGTTTATTAACGGGTCAGAATAGAGAGCTGCCTTGTACTACACAAACCCAAACATCTCCATTCAGCTTATTTCAGTGGCAAATTCATTCCCCTGCTATTTCAGTGAATGGTACGTTATATTCAGCCAACACTGAAGTAACGTTATAGCAGACGAGACGCTCAGTGTAGAAAACCTCAGAGAATTCACTAATACGGCAGAGCTTTAAAATAATTTTCTGTTTCAACAGATCTACTCTTGCAGTTTATGGCCAGCTAGTACAAATCACTTATCGCTTTATCTTGAGACAAATACTTTAGTCAGCGCTCCAGGCTTCAGGGGACAGTGGGTACCCAAGGCAAGTGGTTCAGGTGCCCAGTGAGGCTGAGAATTATGGTTACGGTCATGAGCCTCAGCCATAGCCCGTCTTCTGCTGGGGAATTGCTAAATTATGCTCCCCGGCCCCACAGATATTTTCCCCCCCAACCTATGATAATGGTAAGACAGAGAATTTATAATTTGTTTTAATGCTCTCCAGGGTCTAGCAGACACAGTTTCACAGCAGTTGAAAAACAGGAGCTTGAAGTTACTTTGTACTTTGTAACCCAGCCACCCTTGATTTTTTTCACTGTTTATTAGCTTTCTTGATGGATTGTTTGAGCTTCCAGCATAGCTGAGTTCCAGTACGATCGGGCTGTTACTCGGTGGGAATTGCAAATGTACATAACTGTTTATGTACTCTAAAGCAAAGTAGCTGGAGCGTTCCCCTCCACCCTCTGAGACTGAGTCATCTTACGGAGCATCCTTGCTTTTAGTGCATCCCAAGCGAGCTCATTGCTTGGCATGTGGTAATGAGATCACAACCAGCAACTTTGCAACTTCCTTACCTCTTTCTAATGCAAGTGATAAATCTGCTGGCTCTTCCAACCTAAAAAATACTACAAGTGGCGAAGTCTCCTCTTGCTGTACACAGGCTTTTCTAAAGCACATATATTGGCTACCAACAAAGATAACAAGGTGGTCTTGGCTACTACTTAACTTTTTTTTTTCCCCCCGCTGTACATGACTGTGGCCTTAAGCACGAGAACAGACTGATGGGATGACGGGGACGCTACTTCCCCGCTGTGCTTATGATGTGTCACGATGGATGTCACGATTTCAGTCTATTTTAAAAGAACGTGACAATGGAAGAAACTGTAGACAAGTATTTTAACTACCTAGCTTATTTCACCCTTGAAGCAGGAATACAAACTCAGTTTTGCTCTTCACAATCCCCTTCAGCATACTGGAGGAGGCTGTGGAGCAAGATTCCTGTAAGAGTGATCCCGTTATTATTGTGATACAACTCAAATTCTAATCCTAGTGAGCTTACATCAGACCCAGGTCCCTTGAACTGGCTGCAAGGTTTTGGCCCGTACCAAAGGATTAATTAAAGTAAGCGACAGTGTCAGGCATCCTCTCCTGCCCCAGTGTGTTACTGACTGGCAGGAGCATGCAATGGTAGATAAACTGATCATTTATATATATATATATACACACACATGACGATTTATCTACCATTTTCTGCAACGGCATCTACCATGCTTTGTCTTGTTCTCAAAGCCTCAGATGAGATTTTTTTTAAGTGACTGCCTGCTCTGCTTATTGGTGCCGATTGGGGAAGAAGGGGAGAACAGGGCTGCCACAGCACCCAACGTCTCTTTTGTACGTAGCGTGGAGCAGCAGCATGCCTGGCAACGGCAGTGAACTGTTGGCTCAGCTCAGCCATCTTGCAGAATTTCACCTTGCTATTTCCTTAGTGAACATGCAATGCCAAGAACAGAGTTGTTCCATTCTGGTCACGCCTCAACCTGAAATCAGTAGCAGGCAATCCAGAGACTGCATGAGGACTTGTCTATTCCACGATTACAAACGATGCAGTGCGTTTCATGGCTCCATGAGCCAAACTGAAGTCAGGCAAGTACCTCAGTTGCTCTCTGCTCCTGGTGATGGACAAGGGCTCATACATCTCCCTGAACTGAGCCCAGGCTTGCTTAATGACCTCGCTTTAAAAAACGTGTATCAAGTATTTCCACCCCTGGCAATACTAGGTCCCTGAATTCCATTCTTTATCCCTGTCCTGCAATACCATACCACTCTCCCGCAGAAACAGCAAGTATGATTTACTTTTTCCATTTCCTCCCAGGCTGTAACAGCTGTGACCAACACTGCTGCTGCTTGTACCTATCCTTTACGCAGGAAGCACCAGACAGTCTGCCACAGGGAAAGTGTGCATGGGATGGCAGATTCTTTTCTGACATGCTTTCTGTAATCATGCAATTTGTTTATGGCTTTACTTGCAAAATGCCGCTGACAAACCCCACTTTTTTGAAGTAGCTGAACTCGGGCAAATGTCTGACTTGTCTTAGCAGAAGCGCTGCCTCACGCCTCTGAGGGCAGGTGCAGCTGGAGGCAGTCCCAAATGCACGGGCTGTCATCCTTCACTGGAGAGGGGCCACGAAGCAGACTGGAGAGTCATTTTTCACCCAGCCTGCTGAAGCAGCCCACTAGCACCTTGCACGTTTTCCAAATGCTCATAACCCTCTTTGCTGTATTTCTGAAGGCAGTGGTTAGTTGGGCACAGCTTTCCACGTTCTTCTTTCTCACCAGTTGCACATCAGGCAGAGGCTGCAGTGTGTTTTTTCCTTCCAGCGTATTCAGTCTCAGTTAAGCAGCAAATCTGTTGTTTTGTGAGCAGTTAAGCAAGTCAAAGGCAACTCTAAAGGCGCATAGAGAACAGCAGCTCAAGGACTATGCGCTAGAGAGTTTTAACTATTAGTTTATTTCAGGGGAAAAAAAAAAAATTCTAGCTGGGTGACGGGGGAAAAGAGAGATGATGCCCAAGTCCCTTCTCTTTAAGTGGTCTACAGACAGTATCTTTATATCAGCAGAAAGCCAAGTCTGGCTCCAGAGGTATAAAAGGAACATTTACTTGCATTTTCCAATTCTGTGAAAACTTAAACTTCTGTGGTCATCTCAGTAATTAAAGAAGTGAATCACTGTGAATTAACCTTGAAGTTAAAGCTTGTTGAGCTTCTACTGTCTAAAAAAACGTACCTTCACAAAGTCCCTTTCGTAAAGGAATGTTTATTACCACCTGCTTTAAAGCACCTTCTTCCCATTTTCTGCTCTAACATCAGAAATTCATGTTTTGTACTTGTTTACTGGTCTTAGTTTGCACAGTTGTTATACTACAGCCCAAACCAATAAAGAGGGAGATTTTTTTTTTTTCAGATCAAGCTTTAGGTGATTGTTGAAAAGCTGTGTTACATTCCAAGTTCCCGGTTACTACAGGTTCAGCACGCTCCTTGCACTTTTCACAATAAGGAAAGAGCCCACATTGCTGGTTTTCCTTAAATTGAAAACGAGCCCACAGAATAAGGAAAACACTAAATCACTATTTTTAATGCGACAGGAAGTGAGAACGGATGTTTACTTGGCTTCGTTTAAAGACTGCAAAATCGCATCCTACTTAGCACCTTGAATGATCCACCATAATACTGGATTTTTTTTTTTAAATTGTAAATGTTTATCAGAAGTGAAACCCAAACATGTTAGGAAAGAACATGTTCTTTTACTACTTGCTATACAAGAGGATAAGCTATACAAGCTGTTTAAATAACATTGCTTATATTAAACCTAAATGTTATTATATGGGGCAATAGTGAATTTTCTAAGTTTTACTTACTGTGTCAAGCTGCATTTGAATGTAAAACTTCCATATAGATTTAGGTAACCTTAAGTGGATTAATATACTTCTGACCTACTATGCTTTGAAAATCACTATTTATCATAAATGAAGCATGTTTTTACATTAGTAGATTGAATCGTTTCTGGGTCTCTACAACTACAGAGCTAGTATGGTCTAACTGCCCTCTCCTGATACCTTTCTAAGAATTTCTCTCTCCTCAGTAATTTGATTCCAAGTCTTCCACAGCTATTACTTATCGCTTAAGTGAAGCTATTTTCATTAAAGCTCTACCATAGACAGCCAATTTGAACTCTGATTCTTTCAAGCAAAGCCATTTGCTGTGAGGTTCATCAGAAACTATCGATGTCTGTTAGGGAGTTAAGCGCACTGGCGAGCGCTACAGTCCTCTGTTAATCCTGGGACTGCTCCTGGCTGAATATACCTGTACAGTCTAAGACTCAAATCTATACCTACAGTAGACAAACTCTAGACTAACGCAAAGGCACAAAGTACCAAGCCAGCCTTGCTTTTCCACCTGACATATTTTTTGGTCTAATGTGTCCTCCAATCCAAACTTTTTCAGTACAGCAAAATTACAGAGATATCAGTGTTCAAGATATCCGGGGCAGATATAATTTTACAGTGTGTGCAAGCAGTTAAGCCCTTATTCTTTGTAAAGAGAAAATGTAGTCTGGGGCAGATTCCCATCAAAACAATTTGCTTTGCCTATTCCTTTCTCAGGGGAGGGCTGGAAGCTGATTAATTCCTGGGGTCTGAGATGTGATACATACAGCCTGTTCTTACCCATTGCCTATCCCAGAGCAGGCACACTTACCCGAATATAAATGCCTTGTAGAAAGATGAAGTTTAGAGCACGAGAGGGTTGCTGTGTTTCCCAAAGATCCCCAGGAAACACAGTAGTCAAGGTTAGGCAGGAGAAGTTAACTCGGCAGGCCAGAATTTGAGCCGTTCTGTGATACAACAAACAACTGTTGGTTCAGTCCATGTAACCTTGCAAGGCCTGTTCTTTAGCAAACAGGCAAGAAAGATTTAATTTGTTGTTTGGCAGAAAACACAAAATTCAGCACTCAAGTTTAACTAAAGGGTATTTTTTTATTCCCCATTAAGACTGTCTCAAGGACATAACTAAATGTTGGAAACCCCACAGAAGGGCACATACAGTGAATGTGGTGAAGTACAATGTGAACAGCCCCAGGGGTTCAAATAAGGTAGGACCATTAGCTAACCAGAGGAAAAAACCCAAATCAAAACTCTGCTGAAGATGTTGCACTTTCTTCTCCATTTACACTGGAAAAAAAAAAAGTCAAATCCAACAAAATCCTTGCATCTCTAATACATTCAGTCCTGGCTAAAGAGTTTAACAAGATGACAACAGGATGACTATAATACAAAACGTTCACTACTACACTCTGTACACACCTGTTGTCCAAGCCCTCCCCCAAACCCACGTACTGATGGCGCCCCCATTATTTGCTTGCTTGCTGGGCCTGCCTGCGGAGGAGGACGTAGATCTTCTCCTTTATCCAGTCTTTATTGTACGGTTGGTATGTCTGAGTATCAGCACGGTAACTAGAGAAGAAAAAAAGAATTAATGTAATACCAGTCTGTGGTGTAAGTACCTCTAGCAGAAAAACTTCACAAACAATTAAGCGTCCTCAAGTCTATGAGGCAGAAAGTCATGTGCAGAACACAAGTAATATCAGAAGTAGATGGGAATTGCCACTTATATCAAAGAGATTTATCCTGCTCCCTAAAAAACAGTTACCCAGCAGATCAGTAAGAACCTGAAATAAAATAGATGCTCCAAGGACTACTGAGTGACTGGATCACAATGTGCTCACCTTTTAATTCATGAATATAATTACTTATGGGAGACAACAAGTGGAGCACCTTAATGTTCTGGAGCTCAGAATGAAGAATAGTTCTACCAGGAAACCATCTAATTTGTCTTGATGAGCCAAACACTTCTTCAACACTACTTCAAGCAAGTGTTTATGTGAGTTTTCAAGTGCTCCACTTCTGTTTGGAATTTTTATAAAATGAATAAAAGCATGATGTTCCAGGAGCAAAGGTAGATCATAGATGGATGACAAAGGATTCTTGCCAGTTGGCAGTGATGGCGAGCTTACATCTAACAAACAAGGACACTTCATAAAAACCAAACTGAAAACAAGAACCCCCAGACTCATTTTCTTTGCTACTCAAGGATAATTGATAAAAGTTCACTAGCAAGATTTTGTGCCAGGGCCGGAGAACTCAGTTACTTGAGACACTGCTGAACTGAAGCAGAATTAGACTGAAAAAAGAAAGCAAACTGCATGAAGTTATCCGTGTAGATTCATGCCCTCTTTTTCCCCCTAGTCATTGAAGTTGAATGTTTTTTTTTGATGAAGGTGGTACTTTCAGTGAACGCTTCGAGAACTACTGAAGTCCCTCCCACTCAGTCTTTAAATCTTGGCACACATATTTCTTCTACTCAGGTAAGAAGGGTGAGGTGGTCATTGATAAGAAGCTAAGTAAAAATCCAGAGCTAACTCAATCCAGAATAATTTACAGTTTTTACCTAAGGAAAAAACCCTAAGCATGGTATTTGTAAGAAAGCCTTATTTTAAACCCATCATGACTAGTTCAAGGCCACAGAAAGAGTTTCAGTATACACTGATATAGTAGTTAGTAGTAGTTCCAGTGTATTATAAGAAATGTTAGTTTCAGAAAAAATTACTGATTTCTGCCCCCACCCCAATCCACTCATAGCACTACACTGTGAGACCAGACAGCAAGTACTTCAGGAGTCTCCATGAACACATGTCCAGTACGCTATGTGCTACGCGTGCCATCTGGTGGAAAACTATAAGCTGAAGTAGAATTTGGCACAACACTGAGTTTACAAGCCTAATTAAAGAAAGGCACAAGACTGTACTAGAAAACAATTGCTACTTCCTGAAGCAAGTAGCTAGCTTCAGTCTGTTAGATAAACTAACCCAGCGTGTCTTTCAAACCGCATCAGCACAGCACTATGACACACAAAGATCAAGCGTGGCAGAATGTCTCGGAACAAGGTAACTCTGCAGAAACTGTAAACCTGTTTTACTTATTCTACTGAAAACTTTGGTAAATGGCATTTGTAATAAGTCACTATCAGTAACATAGATCCTGTATGTACATCAGAAAGCAAAGGAAAGCAATCTGCTGCTCAGTTTTGTTAAAATAGGTTTTTATTTTAAACTAGAATTAACTGGCAAAGGTTGTTCACTGTGCAGCTGCACCAGTACTTGCACTGGGATATCAGACAGAGCAGTACAGCTGCAGGAATGTCCACACTAGACACTCACCGTCTTAAAAAAGTGTTTCTGGAATTTTGAGCTTAGAAAGCTAAATACTATGTCTTCTGTTATTTGAATATGAGATTTGTATCCTTATTCCTACAGAATTTCTGCAAAGTTGATACCACTGTCGTATCAAACCATTACCTTGAAATTTATGGTATGGAAAGTACTCATGACCTCGACTAAGTGATTTAGTTACAGTGTTAAAGTTATGTTCTGAACAGTGAAATTTAGCATTAGATTTCACAGTACAGTCAGAATGGGAAGTACACAAGACCACCTTTGCTTGCCCACAACTTTAAGACACAGATGAGAACAGGAGATAATGTATTCACAAGAACACTCAAATAATTATCTAGGGCTCTCTGGAGGATTGATCTGTTTCTCAATTGCTTCATTAGGATTTACAGAAATGTCCATCTTGCTGGATCAAAACCAAACAACTGGCTGCAATGCGCTTCTATGCGCTTCTGCTGTACCACTAGTACAGCCCTCAGCTGAATTAAATTCTGTGAGCATTCTGTCTCCTTAAGAATTGGACCAACCGCACAAAGGCAGATACAGCTCCAATTTAAACAGATTCTAGAACTAATAAAACATGTAGCTGCATTAAACTGTTGGACTTCAATATTTGAAATGCTGGGAGCTTCAATGCGACTAAAACCCAAGTGGAACTGTCAGTTTCTGAGCTTTCTTTAGAGATACTTTATTCCAGTGCAGTTAATCGGAGTGGGCAACATGGCATGCCAGCTGCAATACTGCTGCCTTACTAACAGAGTTATTGCAAAAAAAACCCAGAATCTTACCAGATTTGACATAAAACATGTAAGAGTTTACATGGAAGACTTCTGACTTCTCTAAGTCGCTGAAATGGACTTGAAAACTGAACTTACACAAGACAGCTGAGGTCTGCCAAGTCATCGATGAAGTCAAACAATTGGCTGATATCGTATGTAATGGATGGACTGTTGGGATTCATTCTCTTCAGATGCTCCTCATACATTTTACAGACTCCTACAGAGAAAAAAGATTAACAATACAATATTAAAAAAAGCAACAACTGTATTCGCTGAAACTTCTTCAGCTACTGAACCTCAGATATCAGGGAAGTTTAGAGATGACTACCATGAGAACAGAGACATGAACTTCTTGCCCAGATTTTGCAGAGTTCAAATGCTTTTGTTCTACCTCTTCGCACTGAAGCATAATACCAGTACTATAAAAATCACATAAGATGCATGGACAGAAGCACCTAGAGGAAAAAGTGTTAGTTCTATCAGAGATGGAACTTTCCATGCTGTAAGCTCCAACGGAAACCTGAAACTCCTCCTAATAATTTTAAGATAGCAATTGCAACACATATTCCTGTGGTACAAGTACCTGAGAAAGAGAAGAACTAGTATTAAATAAACTACTCAAATCTCAGAAGAGAGATCATTCTTGATGAGAGAGTCAAAGAGGGCTACTGAGGTAAGAGTGACAGCACAAGCCTGTATGTGAGCTTAAATCAGTTTTAAGCTAGCCCATACATAATTTAGATACATTTCAGAAGAATATAGTATTAAAGTGAGCATGGAGGCTTTATATGGTCTTTATTATGCTTTTGTTTGCCTCACAAAACTTCCTGGAATTAGAATTTTTAATGTTAAGTGAACTTCACATTTAAATCATGCAGCTGTAGTACTTCAATCTTCTTTCCAAGCTCACTATGTGTCTCTTAAAGTCACGCAGTATTTTTTCTCTGGCACACATGCCACGAGGCTGCAAATTATGTATCCATTGCACATGTACTTTTATTTTATACATTATCTCCCATAGCAATCTTTCCTTTCCATGGTTAGCACAAAAATTAGTGTGAGAGTTAGGCTCTGATCCTGCAATGAAATGCATTCAGGCAAGTCTGCTGCATGGCCCCACCAAGAATATTGCCTACTCTCACAAACTGAATGTGTTTCAACCTAGATAAATCAAAAAGAGACATTTAATATAGAAAGGAAGTTCTGAAAATAAAGAATAACATTTTTAGTTTGCTAAAACATTAGTGAACTAAAAGCATGAGGTTTTTGCATTTTTGTGAATTACCTTGGAAAAATATGAACAGTGACTTACTTACATTCTTACTGCATAAGTTTGGGAGTATGTCAAAAAAGGGGTTTTAACAACAGTGTCTGCACCCACCTTCCATGCACTCATTCACCGATTCATAATCAGCATATGTTCTGCCTTCTGGCCTCTTGGTAGGCTGGACAAGTAGAATTGTGTGAGACTGAAAAACAAAAACACCAAGAAAACAGGTTACTTGCAAAATGTGAATGATTTTTTGTTTGAATTAAGTTCTAAAGCAGTGCTTCTGAAAGAAGCACTAAAAAGAAGCATAATATTAAAACACTGAACTAGTGATCAAGGACACAGACATTTTCCAAACAGCATTTACTGTTCATATACTGTGTTAATAATTTTTGTTTCCAATCAGTCCTGTCAATCCTTACATAACTTTCTAATGCGTAAAACCACCAGTAAAGCAGCTATTGTGTTGTCAAAAATACGATGTGAATAGTAGTTTCTCTTTAAACACAAAAGCAAAGCAATAAAGTCAATGTAGAAGAGCTATGCCATTAGTGCATTTACTTATTTTACTCCAAATGCAAGCTTTTAGTATGATTTTAAACACTCCAATTGAAGAGCAAGGAGGGAGGCCAACTTAACTTCACTGTCAGTTTCACCTTAAAGATTTTAACACAAACAGCTATTTTGAGTTATTCATTAAACTTCAAGAGAACACAAATTATACAACAAATCCACACTTAGCGTTCAAGATTATTTCCTGCAGAACAGAAGCATGGATTTTTCATACTTCAGTGAGTCTACTGCGACAGTAATTATGGCACAGATAACTGTTCCAAGTGTTAAAAGTCTGTAAGCTTGCTCTTCTGCAGGAAAGACTTAGATGATTGCACAGTCTCTGGCTTGTGTTATTTCTGTAATATTTTTCACTTGGCTACAGCAAGTCATTTGAGCAAACAAGAAGAAGGATTTTTGAAGTGTACACAATCTGTGATCTAATTAACAGGTTACACAGCACAGAAAGTTTGCAAGCATGCTACAAACCACCATTTCCAGTGCTGCTAATTGGATCCAACATTTTCAATGCTAATATATGAGGTGAGCACACAACATGTAATATTCATGCAGGCAACTGCAGAGTAAGACACACTGGAAACAGATATCAAAGCACATTATTGGGATTAAATTAATCAGCTGCTGACAGAAAAATCCTGACCCACACTTTGGACAGATCAGTGAAGATACAACTTCAGTGTTCAAATGCAGTGACAGAAAAGAAAAATGGGAAATACTAGGATTTACAAGGAACATAGGCGGAAAAAGCACAAATTTTTATACCATGACCAATAGCGTTTTCATGCCTGGAATACAGTTCTCAGTTCTTTAAATTCTGTCTCAAATTACATGGTAGAGAATTTTAGAGAAGCCCAGAAAAAAGTGCCACAGAGAAACAGAAGCAGCAAGACTTTTCCCAATCAGAAATGGGAAAAGAGGGGAATTCAGTGCTACACACTGTAACAAAAAATCACACAAAGGAGACTAGACCATTTAGGTCCACTTTCATGTATGCCAGCGGATACTAGATTTGACAGGAATTCCCCAAGGGGGGCTCAGTGCATTGTGCCTGACTGGGCATGTCTTACCAGGGAGTCCAAATAGATTCTGCCACACTTTATAATAAAGTATAAAGCTTTTTCCAGCACTGTCATTTTTATTTGCTGGTCACTGATGACAAGGCTTGGTTCCAGGACTTGCAACTCTGATTTCCTGGGAGCATTTGACTAAGGATCCCTTATTAACAACAACGGATGAGGTGCATCAGCCAGTTCAGTCTGTGTGTTCTAAAAAAAGCTGGGTTATCTTAGCATCAGTGTGTCTTGCAAACTACATCTATGGTGTCTGCTTATGTACACATCTTTATCTCTTTCAACTAAACTCAATATTTTAAAAAAATCGTATATATTGTGAAATTATCCCAATAACCAGATTATAGAAAAAATACCAGTGAGATGGACATGTAAGCCAGTTCTTTTAGAACTTTAAGGTAGAAATTATTGGGGCTTCTTACTTTAAACCTTTTACCATTTCAGACACTTTACAACATCCATATCAGACACTGACCTGGAATTTATTAAAATTAATGCCATTGGGACCATCTGTATTGTAGAATGAATGCGTTACATCTCAAACATTTTCTTGGGAACTTCCCACTATTTTACCTTGGGGGGGGGGAATTGCTTGATCTCCTAAAATTGCTCCTCCTTTCCTGCCACTACAGTGCAAAAAAGTGACAAGTTCAGAAGCCCAAGAGAAGTTTCCTCCAACTTATTACCCGCCTGACTGAATATGTGCCTAGGCGACAGGGCAAAATTCAGTGTGATTAGTAACTATTATGCTTTCCTATGGGTATAAATCTTACTGTTGGGAAAAAAAAAAGATCAAACCAAGGGAAGATCCATAAACCTTCATACATTAGGACCAGGTTATCTGGAAAAGCCCAGATATAGACTCTTATTATTCTAATGCATACGCTGGCTTTTCTTGTGTTTTCTTTTAAAGCACAGTTGTACTGTCTGCTGTTAAGCAGGACACTGAAAAAGATACCACACATTTTGTAATACACCAGTTTTGAACTTCTAGAGAGCACTTTAGAATGTGCTCTGATTATTGAAGACAGAAAACTGTAAAAACAGTTAAGGCAGCGCTGACCGCCAGGCCTTAGGAGCTAGGCAGCATCTGCCCAAAGAGTCTTCTATTAATTGTAGTCTACTCAATAATAAAGTAAAAAATAATTAAAAAGGAAGAGAAACAAATATTGTAAGAATAAGATGTGCAGTGATGCAAATGCAAGTAGTATACCGCAGATTTAAATGCCTTTCAGTTATTCCTGCTCTGCAGAAAAAAGTGATTTAAGTATCTCCTCTCACTTTGGACAACAGGACAGGGCTCATAGCTGCCTGTCTGAGCAGAAGAACCACTTTTGAGCAAGTGCCAGACAGATGCAGAACTTTGCTGCAAACCCAGAAGCAGTTGTCTTTCCGCCATGGGGCAACGACTCGCTGCAGCACATTGGATTTTATTAGACGAATGCAACAAGCTATGGTGATCGGTGGGCCTTTGTGCTTCAGCCTGCCGTTCAAAGAGTCCACCGGCGCAAGCTGCCGCCTTCCCCTCCTCCAAGTATTGGGGTGGAGGAGGAGGGAAAGCAGCACGGGCAGCAACAGCTCCAAGTAACGCAACCCGGCCATTTCAGGTGGGCGCATTCGACGGAACCGGGGGGGGCGGCGCTCCCGAGGAAGAGCTGCGCTTCCAGAAGCGCCCGGAAAAGGGGCTGAAGCTCCCGGGCAAGCCCGCTCCACGCCAAGCCCGGAAGCCTCCCCCCTCCCTTCCTCCCTCCTCCCCTCTCCGAGGGCGACCGGCCTTTGTGCCG